GGGGTATGTAGGCAGCCTCGAGAGTTGCTAGTTACATGCATTTGGAAAGATAGTGCTCATAAATCTACAAGAGTCTAGGTTGCCATACATAGGTGTTGATACTAATACAGAATTCTATGTCCTTCTAAAGAAATGTCTTTAACAAAGACATAAATTTATTAAGTAGAACAAAGAGCAATGCCTACACTGTAATTATTATTCACTCATTGACAGTAAACAACGTAAAAATAACATTTGATTGGTTGCTAAGCTATACACATTGCCAATTCAATTTTATTTGGTTCCAATTGTGTATGCTTTTTCTGTAGGAACATACATATACAGAGGGTAAAATAAGTCGGTAACATAAGTACTGAACACGTCACCATTTTTTTTTTTTGCCATCTACCAGGGTGATGAAGATGAAACAAGGGTGGACATTTCAGCAAGACAAAGATTTCAAAGAAAGAAAATAAAGCTGCTAGAATGGCCCAGTCAGTCACCTGACTTGAATCCAAAAGAAAATCTATGGAAAGAACTACAGATCAGAGTTCATAGAAGAGGCCCACGGAACCTTCAAGATTTGAAGACTGTTTGTGTGGAAGAATGGATCAAATGCATGCAACTCATTTCTCCATTTTGAAACTGTCATTGCCAACAAAGGATTTTGTACAAAGTATTAGATAAATTTCAGTTAGCGTGTTCAATACTTTTTCCCTGTGTCATTCCAGGGAAGCTGCTTTGGGGATATCATAGCAGGTGCTCATACAGTTGCAAGAAAAAGTATGTGAACCCTTGGGTTTAACGTTGAGTTTTGCATGAATTGAGCATAAAATGTGCTCTGAACGTCATCTAAGTCACAACAATAGAAGAACACAGTCTGCTGAACATAATACTACACAAACATTAGATGTTGCCATGGTTTAATTGCACATAACATGTAAACATTCACAGTGCAGGGAGGAAAAAGTATGTGAGGCCCTAGCTTAATGACTTCTCCCAGAGCTAATTGGAGCCAGGAGTGAGCCAACCTTGACTCCAATCAGTGTGATGATATTGGATGTGTTGCTGACAGCTGTCCTGCTCTTAAAAAACACACACCTGTTTTGGGTTTACTGGTGTCAAGAAGCACTGTCTGATGTGAACCATGCCTCGCAGAAAAGAGCTCTCAGAAGACCTACGATCAAGAATTGTTGACTTGCATGAAGCTGGAAAGGGTTACAAAAGTATCTCCAAAAGCCTTGATGTTCATGTGTCCACGGTAAGACAGACTGTCTACAAATGGAGAAAGTTTAGCACTGTTGCTACTCTCCCTAGGCGTGGTCGTCCTGTAAAAATGACTGCAAGAGCACAGCGCAGAATGCTGCATGAGGTAAAGAAGAATCCCAGAGTGTCAGCTAAAGACCTACAGAAATCTCTGGCACATGCTAACATTTTTGTTGACACATCTACAATAAGGAAAACATTAAACAAGAATGGAGTACATGGGAGGACTCCACGGAGGAAGCCATTGCTGTCCAAAAAGAATATTGCAGCACGTTTGAAGTTTGCAAAAGAGCACCTGAATGTTCCACAGCACTACTGGCAAAATATACTGTGGACAGATGAAACCAAGATTGAGTTGTTTGGGAAGAACACACAACACTATGTGTGGAGAAAAAAAGGCACAGCACACCAACATCAAAACCTCATCCCCACTGTAAAACATGGCGGAGGGAGCATCATGGTTTGGGGCTGCTTTGCTGCCTCAGGGCCTGGACGGATTGTTGTCATTGATGGGAAAATGAATTCCAGAGTTTATCAAGACATTTTGCAGGAAAATGTATGACCATCTGTCTGCCAACTGAAGCTCCGCAGAGGATGAGTGATGCAACAGGACAATGACCCAAAGCATACAAGTAATTCAACAAAACAATGGCTGCAACAGCACAGAATACACCTTTTGGAGTGGCCCAGTCAGAGTCCTGACCTCAACCCGATTGAAATGCTGTGGCATGACCTTAAGAGAGCGATTCACACCAGACATCCCAAGAATATTGCTACACTGAAACAATTTTGTGAAGAGGAGTGGTCCAAAATTACTCCAGATCGTTGTGCAGGTCTGATCTGCAACTACAGGAAACGTTTGGTTGAGGTTATTGCTGCCAAAGGAGGGTCAACCAGTTATTAAGTCCAAAGGTTCCCATACTTTTTCCTCCCTGCACTGTGAATGTTTACATGTTATGTGCAATTAAACCATGGCAATATCTAATGTTTGTGTAGTATTATGTTCAGCAGACTGTGTTCTTCTATTGTTGTGACTTAAATGACGTTCAGAGCACATTTTATGCCCAATTCATGCAAAACTCCATGTAATCCCAAGGGGTTCACATACTTTTTCTTGCAACTGTAATTGTCTCCTCCTAGTATGTTGTTGGCTTACCCATATCAAAAAGCATGCTCCTGCCACTTTCACATAAAGTGTTGTTCATTATCTCTGCAACACCATTTTGTTCTGCATTGCATGGTACAGTATTCATGTTTCCACAGAATAGCCTGCATTTTTTTTTACCTTCATGCACTCTATGCATGAAGGTAAAAAACCTTCAGTGTGCAGTCCCCCCCCAGCCCCCACCTCCAATCCTTACCTGAGCCCCCTTCTTTCCAGCGATGTGCACAATAGCCTCGGCTGTATGGGGACTCTCCCTCCTCATTGGCTGAGACAGTAGTGGGAGCCCAATGGCTCCCACTGCTGTTAACCACAGCCAGTGAACCAATGAGGTGAGAGCGGGGGGGGCAGGGCCAAACCATTGCGCTGTCATATGTGTCTTATGGATGCATAGAACACTGGCTCGGGAGTGAGCACGCAGCAGTGCCCCCAGGTCAAGCAGAGTTCTCTGGGGGCACTGCTCAAGGGGGAGGAACCTCAGTGCCAGTGGGAGACCCATAAAGAAGAAGATTGAGGCAGCTGTGTGCAAAACTACTGCACATAGCAGGTAATTATGACATGTTTGTTATTTAATATATTAACATATACCCAAATCTTTAGTATCACTTTAAGTTTAAATGGAATTTCATTTTGCTTTGTAACAGGTAGAGCATAGTACCTTAAGTAGTCATCAATAAATGTGAGAAAATGTCTCCTTATCTGGAGTCTCAGTTTTCATAGGAACCCATAGATCTGAGTTAATTAAAGTGTCTCTTTGCCTTGTTTGGAAGAAATTAAAAGTCAGCAGCTACAAATACTGTAGCTGCTGACTTTTAATAAAATGACACTTGCCTGTCCAGAGATCCAGCAGCCTCCTCACCCAAAGTGGTTCTTCACCAATCTTCAGGTCACCATCCCCAGTATGTTTACTTGTGGGCAGCTGGCTGTGATTGCTTGCGGCATGTGTGAGCCGCGCTGCACTTTATAAATGGTCCATCAGCCTTCTGGGACCTGTGATGTGTCCCAGAAGGCTGCGGCCAGGGGGAGGAGGAGAACTTGGATGGATTAGATGGATTGCCATGGTGATCCAACCAGAAATGGGAATGGGTACCTGTTAAAACCAAGTACCCACTTATTGCACCAAAAAAAAGTACCCATAGAAGAGGAGGGGGGAGGTGAAGCAAAATTTCCCCTTTAGGGTGAAGTTCCCATTTGCAATGCAACTAAAGGCAAAAACTTTATTTCGTTTTGGATAGAGTGGAGAGGGATTAGAACACCTGTCATGTTTTACTGCCGTCTGTCTTCCATAAGGAAGATTTACCTTCTCTATTTGTCCTGTTTACCACTATCATTGAAAGTGAAAGTAAAAGAAAATTCCACATTTTTGGTTGTCCTCAGAAAAGTAACAGAAAGGAAATCTTCCAATGGGACGCTAGTTCTGGTGATTGGGGGTCTCCTAGGGATTCTCTTTAAATGGTTCTAAAGGCTTTTTTTTTTTTTTCAAATAATAAACACATCATAATTACCTGCTGTATGTAATGGTTTTACACAGAACATCCCTGATCCTCCCCTTCTAGGGTCCCTGGCTGGCACTTCTGGCTCCTCCTCCTTGTTGAGTGCCCCCATAGCAAGCTGCTTGCTCTGGGGGCACTCGTGCATGCTCACTCCCGAGACACTTTTGTGTGTCTATGGGACACCTAGAGCATGGCTAACCCCCCATTTCCTCTTCATTGGCTATGATTGACAGCAGCAGGAGCCAAAGAGGAGTGAGAGACTCGAGGGAGAGCTGTTGCATTCATCACTGGATCGAGATCGGGCTTAGGAAAGTATTGGTGGGGCTGCTGGAACATACTGGAGGTAAAAACCTTCAGCCTTTAGAAGCACTTTAATTTTTAGGGCTTCCCCCTCACTCCTTGTTTTGGCTATGGGACAGAAAGTGAAGAGAATTCTCCCCAATGGGACACAGAATGCAAAAAAGAAACTGACAGGGTTTATAACGCTCCCTTACTCTATCCAAAATGAAAAAAAAAAGTTTTGCCAATAGTTCTACTTTAACCTCCCTGGCGGTATGATTCTTTCCGATTTTTTGTGCTGAAAGCGGTACCATTTTTTTGCATGGAAATATGTAGTTTTTTATTGTAGGCTGTAATTTTTAGGAATAACTCACTGAATTCTGTCCGAGCAAGAGTCTATTAAACATTCCGGATATGATAAAATTTGAAACACAAAATCATAAATTATAATTTAATAAATAATCATAAAAAATAATATAATAATAATAAATTTAATTCAATAATATAATCAAACCAAAAACACTGAAATTTGAAATACAGAGGCAAATTCGCACATCGCTGAGCAAAGTCGCAAAATTGTTTTCAGTGTCTGATGACGAATTTCCCCACGAATCATTATCACTCAATTCTGCAAGTGGTTCTGATTTACTATCGCTGTTCTCTAGCTGTTCTATAACCGCTTTTCACGTAAAGGGACGCTTTTTGGACGCCATGGACTTTTCTAAGTTTCCAGGCAGAAAGAACATTCAAAATGCAGGCAGGGCACAGGACAAGCAGTAGGGACAAAATGTATGTGAAATGCATTGAAATAGCAATGACAGCAAAAATGAAATTTTTTTAAAAATTCTAATTTCCCGCCGGCGCCGGCGCCCGTACGTTCCAACGTCACAGGGACCGGAACACAGAAGCCGGATGCCGGCATCGGCCGGAGGAGATGGCCGGGGACACTGGAGGGGACACATCGTGGGAGCGAAGGACAAGGTAAGTGCTGCAGGGACCCCCAGAGCAGCGCCGCATGGTAAGCCCGAGTGTAGCTCGGGGTTACCGCTTTTGGTATAGAAAATTTTACCCCGAGCTACACTCGGGAACACCTCCAGGGAGGTTAAGTCCAGGGTCTTTTGGGCTCTGCTGTTTCTACTTTTGGGGGGAAAAAATCCGGGTCAATTTTCTATTTGAACAACTGGAACACTTGATTATTTGCATGCATTAAGTTGATTTACTACAGGCAAATAAGCTGTTCACTTTGCAAACTTATTTTCATTTCAGTTCAGAGAATTTATCTCACAACTTGATGAACGAGGTGACCTCCAGCACCCAATTATGGGCAAGCAAAATATTCTGTTTTATTATCTTCCTAAGGAAAAATTCCCTTTCAAAGTGAACAGCCTTTTTGCCATTAGTAAACCAACCCCCACGGGTCAGCTTTTTATGCCACTAGCTGATGGTCATCAGCTTGTTTCTTTTAGAGATTGTTTTTCCTGTAACTCTGAGTTGTATTTGCAGCAGTATATAGTACTGTGACTGTAGCTGGGCCCATAACCTATTGAAAAACTGCTGCAAATATGACAATTACTAGTCAAAATGAAACTGGGCACATGGCTGAGGCATTCTTATTTTACTGGAAAACAACAGGAACTCAAAACCAATAAATTACATTATCACCATGTAGTTCCACTAGACAGAACATTACATTGTACAAAGCACCACAGTATGATGTAGTAGGATGGTTGTTGCACCTATGCCTGCTTAAATAGCATGCTAACAAAACTCAAGAACAAAACATTTAATATACTGCAGCTTACTAGCCCTGAATTAGTTTTTATTTCCCAGGCTTTTTTTTTTTTCCTTTATTTTCACCTAGTCCTAGGGTGAAAATGTTCACACACCATACGGTATCTATGGAGAAGCATTCTACGACATGACTACAAAAACCTCCCCATCTCATTTATTTAATTACAAAGGATGAGAGGGTGCCTATAGTCTTCAGAAAAAGCTGAAAACAATATGAGTGTAACACAATCAGGAGGCACAGGAATTTATCAGCTGACAAAATATCTAGCAGGATCAACAGGGTTTTTTGGAGTGGGAAAAGATTTCCTTGTCATTTTTCCCATTATGTAATTGGTACACTTCATCATTTGACAGGGTAAATTTTTATGCACTGGTGTATTGATCGTTAGCCAGTTTCTTTATAGATCCAAGATTCCTGTGTCCTAGATGACACCACATGTGTGGTATGAATACAGTTTACATGTTTTTGCTCTTTGACAGTGTTCATGGCACTTCAGTTGATACAGTTAATCTGTAGTTTTTCATTTAGATAGTACAGGGGTCTCCAAATTTTCTAACCTATTTAATAGTGCCCTTGTGTCAGTGTGAGTACCTCATCATTGGTGTCAGTGGGAGGAATAGTGCCCTGTTGTTCGTGTCAGTGGGAGAAATAGAGCCCCATTGTTAGTATCAATGGGTCCCATTGCTGATGTCAGTAGCAGCAATTATGCCACAGTGTTGGTGTCAGTGGGAGAAATAGTGTTTTGAATTAGTGGGAGGAAAAGTGCCTCAAGGACCAGTTAAAGGCAAGCAAAGGGCCACTTCCAGTCCATGGGCCGCAGTTTGGAGACCACTGAGCTAGTATATAGTTTATATAGTTTCTTTTTGTGATATTATAGCTCTTACCTCTGAATGCCACTACAAATCCTTGCTTGAAACACTTCTTTACTAAAAATCAGTTATTTTCAGGAGCATATAGTACATCATTGATAGGTATCTTTTTGGTGACTGTTTGGGATAGAGAACACTATAAATAACCTTTTTCTTCTTGAGACCCTATACATTCCAATAACTATTGTCAATCTTTCTGCCTTGCTTTGATTGAGCTGGGTGAAGAATTGATTTTATCATTGATCATATGACTTGTAGCTCAACACACCAGGTGAAAATGATGCAGCAACTTCTTTGGAATGAAAGTTGTGAAAGAGTGCTCAGTATTTAAAGCACTTCTATTTCCTTAAAACTTTTGGCCTTTTATTGTTTAACTTGTCTGTTTTGCTTATTCCTTCTAGCTTTCCAAATTCTGCAGTTTGCCTCCACGTGACCTGTCTTCTTTGAAAAAAAAACATTGACATGTTTCACACTGCATATTATTATTATTATTATTATTATACAGGATTTATATAGCACCAACAGTTTGCTCAGCGCTTTACAATATAACAGGAGACAATACAGCAACAATACAGTTCAATAAAAGAGGGATAGGAGGGCCTGATCCTTGGAGCTTACAATCTAGGAGACATTACTTTAATTGTGGTCTTGGTTCTTAGTACAGAACTACACTACTTCAGCAGCATTTTCATTGGTTTGCACTTTTTATTTTTTTCCTTACATTCTTGTTCAAATATTTTATTGTTTCAACATAAACCTCCCTCTGTCTTCTTTTCCCTAACATAGAGGAGAGGAGTCTGTAGTCCTCAGAGAGTTAAAAACAATGTAACTCATTTTGTAAAGAACTAACTATTGGCACTATATAAATCATGTATAATATAAAAAATATATATATAATATAGAGAACAACACATCAAGGAGCACAGAGAGAGTGGTCAGCTGACAAGATTAGTTGGATCAATGGGCATCTTTTTGCACTTATCAAACAGATAAAACAAATTGCCTTCATTGGAATATATTGTAACAATCCAAAAGGTACCAAATAAAGAGATGTTCATAAAGGTGCACATACCTCTTAAACATAGCCTATCTATTGCCAAATTGTGTGCTTTATTTCTTTTTCAAAGCTTCTTCTTAAGGAGAACCATTCATGACCAAAGGACCATCACAGAGAAGTGTGTTATTAATTTATAAAGAAGAGTCACATACGCATTGCGATCTGTAAGGGAGGTAGGCTGATGACGGCAGTTTGAGAAGAGGTTAATAACATTGGATTTTAATGAATGCAGGCTCAGCAAGGCCATTTAATATTGAAATGTTGACATGGAAGTATTTTGAAGGGAAGCAACATCCAAATAAACTAGGAGCAGCTTTTAACACACCAGTACTTTGCTTTTATTGCAAAATAGAAACCATATTCTATTCACAAATGCTTGCCTCAGGGAGAGGTTGCATCCTTTACGTCTGTAACACACACCTGGTTGCAACACATATGTGCCTAATAAAAGTATTGCTTAGTAGAAAAGCTTCCAAAAAAGACCATCTTTGGCATTGCTGCATATGTTATATGAAATCTCTTACATGAGAAGAATAATTCATTTGTCTAGGACAGTTCCAGACTTGCAGAATCGCAAGAAGTCAGAGCTCTCAACAGTCCCTTTTCTGGAGGGAGACTCTCATTTGAGCTTAAAATGAACCTTGGTACATGCAAACTAGTTGCTGCTAAACTTGTCTTGACCTGAATATAAACCTAACATTTATTTGCATAGCAAATTATCTGTAATACTAAATTCCATGGCACAACACATATCTAGTAAGATTTATGTCCTTATTATGACTATTACAGTATGACTTATTTTTTTAAATGGTTTGTTAATTTATTTATTTGAAAATCAATTTTCAACCTGACACAGATTAATATTTTCACAAACGTCCTCAGATTCCCCCCCCCCCCCCCCCCCCCACCTATATTTTTTTTTGTAAAGCAAGAAATACTCACCCAAGTCCATCATCCAGGTCCAATTCCAGGACCATTTTCATGTGTGTGTGTGGCTTTCTTTCCAATAAATCTCAACCAAGTTTTTCAGGTTAAACAGCAAAGAAGCAATTGGGCCAATTACAAATATCTCTTTTTTTTAACTATGTGGTGTATCAGGTGATTCTTTTTAAATGTTATCATTTAGAACAATTTTATATTTACAAATCTGCATCTAATCCACTTTCATTATATGTTAGATAGTAAATGCTTAGGAAGAGATTATGTTTTTTTCTTGAATTTTTGATTGACAACTTTATCAAATCAAAATCACAGGTATGCATGAGCAGACAGGCATAGCATTATGCTGTCAAGATACACAGGATATGAGAACAATTCTATCTGATGCTAAAAAGCCAATAAAATGACAAATTAACTGGTCTCACTAGTTTTGTGTTGTTCTTTCAACTTGTGGCATGTGACCTAAAAGAAAAGAAAGACTCCAAAAACTGGCAGAGTCTCAAGCAGAATGTTAATTGAGTGCTTCAACTCTCAGCAGAGCTTGCACCGTCAATATATGGCACATGGCATCAGGGCAGCACAGTGGTTAAATGGTTAGCACTTATGCCTAGCAACACTAGGGTTGTTGGTTCAAATCCCAGCCATGGCACCACCTGCCTAGAGTTTGTGTGTTCTCCTTGTCCCTGTGTGGGTTTCCTCTGGGTACTCAGGTTTCCTCCCAACCTCCAAAGACACGCTGGTAGGTTAATTGTCTCAAGTATGTGTATGTATGAATGTGAGTTAGGGACATTAGCTTCTTGAGGGTTAGGAACTAATGTGAATGTACAATATATATGCTATATTGCCAAAAGTATTGGGACACCTGTCTTAGTCAGTAGGGTTCAATATTGAATTGGCCCACCCTTTGCAGCTATAACCTCTTTAACTCTTATGGGAAGGCTGTCCACAAGGTTTAGGAGTGTGTCTATGGGAATGTTTGACCATTCTCCCAGAAGAGTATTGGTGATGTCAGGCACTGATGTCGGACGAGAAGGCCTGGCTCACAGTCTCCACTCTGATTTATCCCAAAGGAGTGCTGTCGGGTTGAGGTCAAGACTCTGTGCAGGCCAGTCAAGTTCCTCTAACACAAAGTCAATCATCCATGTTTTTATGGACCTTGCTTTGTGCACTGGTGTGCAGTCACATTGGAACAGGAAGGGGCCATCCCCAAACTGTTCCCACAAAGTTGGGAGCATGAAATTGTCCAAAATGTCTTGGTATGCTGATGCTTTATGAGTTCCCTTTACTGGAACTAAGGGGCCAGGCCCAACCCCTGAAAAACAGCCCCACACCGTAATCACAATGCACAATGCAGTCAGGCAAGTACCGTTTCCTGGCAGACCCAAACACGTCCATCGGATTGCCAGACAGAAAAGCGTGATTCGTCACTCCAGA